ATGTTTGACTCATCTTTATCCATATTTTTTAAATGTAACTTAAATTGTGCTGAAGTAGGACATGTCTGATATTGGTTGGTATGTTATTTGTTATTAACTGCTTTTACAGAAAAAGCTGAAAGATCAAAATCACTAACTCTAAAATGTACTTCACAATCACCTCTTGATGAAGCTCTTGTTTGTCTTGTGTTCTTAGCACACAAAAAGACAAATTCTTCATTATAAACTGATATTATCACAAACAATACGATTTTGTAAAATTATAAAATTGCTTATAATTGCCGTGGATCTTTAAAAAGTCTTAAAATCGAAGGTCATAAAAGTCTTAATTTTATTTATGAGAGGTCTTAAATTTTAGATGACACTTCGACTTCTAAATACTTTTACCAAATTAAAACTAATTAGCAATTAAATGTATTGCACACTCCTGCACATGAAATGTAGGAACAGAAGTAGGAACAGAAAATGGGTGTCACTTCTGTTCTGATGCCACTTCTGTCTCACTTTTGCACAGCAAATATGGATTTTGTTAACAATGGTTTATAATTTGATTTTAAACTACCCAATAATGTGTTATTATTCTAATTTGTTAGAATTTTACACACATTTATTAGATTTGTATTTAAAAAATGCATGTATATAGGTAAAATGCCCTTGGAAATCAATTTAAGGAGGCTTAATAAAAAAGTAAATTTCTGTCACTTATGAACTGACCACCCCATAGAATATGAATAATATGAATGTCTTTGTGTGTCAGCTGTCCACAACAGGCCTAAACTAGAAGTGGTACCAGCACAAAAGCACACTCAGCATTAGTGTTATCAGCAAAATCTGGATATAATTTTTTTGTCAATATTGCACCCCTAATGTACAGTATTAATTAGAGCCCCTTAAATTTGACTTTAAACAGCAACCCTGCCACACATATTGAAAAACTGCATATATCATTTTTTGATTGACAGTTTTATTCAGCTGATAAATTAAATTGATCAAAAGTTACAGTAAAGAGATTTATATGCTAATTCATGTATATTACATTTTCTTAATACATACTTCTGATGCTTGTGTGTGTTCAGGACGTCCTATGGTTGTATCCAGTGGGATGCAGTCCATGGAGACCATGCGGCGCGTTTACAAGACCGTGAAGGAACACAACCAAAACTTCTGTATCCTGCAGTGCACAAGCGCATATCCACTGGAACCTGAGGACGTCAACCTGCGGGTTATCACGGTAGAGAAACCAGCTCTATGTACTCTCAGAAATCCAATTTATGTAATCCATGTGTATCAACATTAAAATCATTATGGTCTGCATTTCATGACCTGAAAATGTAAAACCTTACATTATATAATTATATCATTATCACTAAATTAAACATGATATAATTATGATTAGATAAATGAAAACCATAAAGTAAAATTATGTATTATTTTGTACTTTTTTCCCCAACCTACAGGAATATCAAAAAGAATTTCCTGATATTCCCATTGGTTACTCAGGCCATGAAAGTGGAATCAGCATCACAGTGGGGGCAGTTGCACTGGGAGCAAAGGTCGTGGAGCGGCATGTGACCTTGGACAAGACCTGGAAGGGCAGCGATCATGAGGCATCTCTGGTGCCGGAAGAGCTGGCGGAGCTGGTGCGATCCATCCGCACTGTGGAGAGAGCTTTGGGCACTGGGCTGAAACGCATGCTGCCCTGTGAGGTGCCATGCCATGATAAGGTACAATAAGAACCACATTCCCTTTTCATTTTATGTCTACATGTCAATTAGTGGCGTTAAGAGGCAAGCATAACTATTACTATTGCTCAGAATTGTATTATTTTATTATATTATTTTCGAATAGTATTGACCCTAAAAATGATGCTACTACAGTGTCAGTTTAGTATTCATTATTCAATATTATAGTATTTATTAATTATATTAATTTTTAGTTTTAATAATTTAGTTGTATTTTTTCATTTTTATTAAATATTCTATTTAGCTTTCATTTATTTTAACTTTTTGTACAAAATTAACAAAATTTTAATGAGTCAATACATCATCAATAATAATCTCCTGTTATAAGTGTTATTACACGGCTCTGTGAAATACTTCATTCTGATTGGTCAATTGCGCCATCCAGCGATATGTTATTCCCAGATAACAACCGCTAAAAAACAGATAACGCAGGCTCATCCGGGTCTAAACGCTAAACGCTTGCTAGGAACGTTTTTTTCTTCATGGAAGTTTTGCATTTGGTGAGCTAATAAAATATTAAAACTCAGTCAAATCAATATTCTGTGTACAATTATTTAATAATGCCATCCAGTATCATGGATTTTCTCTCGTTTCATACAAACGCAGCTGCTGACTATTTTTTTGTACTCTGTTGAATTATATGATTCAAACAGGCACGATTTTAAAACAGTTTAATCTGAAATCAATATCTCCAACTCCATAATTATTTATGTGGCGTAATGCTGTGTAATAAGTGGTATGACTGTACCGTATCTCTTAAATGTCCGTCTAGTTTGAACTCGCTGCCCTAGCAACTGCTCTCTCCGTGGAGGCTTTGCATTTAAAGACGTAATAAAATATTTCAACTCAGATCAATATTTCGTGTCTAATTATTTACTTATGTGGCAAGTAGCCTTGTAAAAAGCGGAATAATGTATATCCAGCCGGTTGTCATCTCAGAATGATGACGGAAAACGTTACGGATGGTTTTCGCGAGAAGTTGCGAACATGCGTCAGTCGCCCGTGTGTCTCTCATCGTATCTGTAAATAGAGAAAAGTTGCTCTGGCTACTTTGACGGGTGTATGGTGTCAGAGGTTAGTTGTCACAACGACAGAGAAAAGGTTGACTCTGAGCATGCTAAATCTCGAACCTTCGGAGAATCACCCGTTTTAAACAAATGCTGAACAGAGAGTCTGCTGGCGAAAAGAAAACACGTCAGAGCTCGTAATAAAACAAGAATCAACATTGGCTTGGCTTTTCAGAGATTGCTAGAACTAAGGGATTAGAAATGTTGTAAAAGGGAAGGGAAGATGACGTTTTTATTACTCAACAGTTGAGTAAGGTATTTTATTGAACAGATAAATTGCCATATATAGCACTCTAACTGAGTTCATTGCAATGCTTTTCTACTGTGAAGGGTCATTTCAATATGGGTTGTTGTAGCTCTGGGGTTTATTTTCAAGGAAGTACCATGTCTATTAATGGGTGATGGGTAAAGCTACAGTAACGTCTTCAGCTAGTCAGCTTGAGATCCTTTCCATCTAAACTGGTTCTATCTCTTATAGCCTAGTAGAGAATGTTTTTGTAAATAAAGTAGGATAATCTCTCTCTCTTTTTTAGTTGTTATAAAGAAACATATTCATCCACACAGTCATTGTGTTTTTCTGCAAAGGGTATGCAGTTAAGCTTTTTTTTTTTTTCTGCAAGAGGGCCAAAAGTTACATAGTGTACCTTTCAGGTTTAGCTTGAGTAATTTTAGTACTTATTTTATTTTAGTTTCAATTATTTCATTTAAATTTCTAATTCCCATTTGTTTTTCATTAACATAGTTTTTTTTCAATTGACGAAAACTGTTTTAAGTTTCTTTTCTTAGTTCTATTTCTTGATAACTAACAGCACCTTGCTGCAGATGTGATGCCTAAAATCATGTGACTTGAGGAAAAGTGTGCTATAGCACTCTCTCTGTCTCTGTTGTTTTTCACATTCCTTCTCCAACTCCTTCAGTTTCCATCAGACAACTCCATTCTCTTTCCTTCTAAAGTTGCATTCCTGGTCTTGCCCCATTTCCTCCTGTCTTAACTTTTCTTCCGTTTTACCATCAAATGCATCTGTTTGCTACCCATATGCCTGTATTCATTCTTAACTTTGCTTCCTCTGAAATGTTTTTTTTTTTCAAACAGTGGGATGTTATGTTATGTTTTGAACAGCACAACCATATTGTCTTCAAGTAATCTGCTCTGTCAGAACATTTCTATAATTATTCTTCTCCATCTTTCACTCATTTCTAGCTCGGGAAGTCTGTGGTTGCAAAGACCGCCATCCCAAAAGGTACAGAACTAACCCTTGACATGCTGACTGTGAAAGTAGCTGAACCCAGGGGTGTAGCTCCAGAAGACATCTTCCAGCTGGTGGGGAAGAAAGTGACGGTAGATTTCGAGGAGGATGAGAGCATCACTGAGGATGCAGTCGACAACTATAGCAAAAAAGCCAAAGCTTGAGGAAAATTGTGATTCTTGATCAGAATGGAAATAAATTTAAGTTCCAGCCAAAGTAAAATGCATTATACAAGAACCTTGGTTAAAATGGCTCTTGTCAGGCAGAAGACAGATGCAACAATACATCAAATGCAGTATATATCATCAGACCTGTTTTTCTGTTTATATGGGTTATTTGCCAAATACTGTTGAATAAATAAAATAAAAAATAAAATTGAAACATGGAAATCTGTCTCATTTTGAAAATGAATTAACATAATAATTTAAAATTATGGAATCAAAAATGTAAAGGGTTTTATTTATAGGCTATGCACTAACAATTGTCTGACCAATTTAGTTGGACATTTGCCACACGGTTCTTTTTGGGATATATTCCATGGTAGATGGCTACCACAGTTGCCTTGGTGTATTATTTAAATACCTTGGTACATGTATGTATTAATTTTGCAGGAAAATATTATATTTAAATATATTTTCGGCCAAAATGACGCACAAATCTTGTTATCATTGATCTTTTGAGATCAAAAGTTCTGTCTGTGAAGGACACCACACTACTGTCAGTTTTTCCACGATAAAGCCCTTTTATATTCATTACAGACTGAAACGTATGCAATCCCTTTTTGCTGCAACGCACTATCAGGGCACGCTGTTGGTCACGGGATTCGCACAACCACGGTTTAGTCATTTCATTGGTCGTCGACTGAACTCCTCGTCATTTGTTTGGGCAGTAGAACTGCCAATCAAAAATACACAACTCTAATTGGCTGAGCTTAATTTCTTGCGTGTCCGTTCACTCGTTAGCACCTCCCCCGCTGACATTGGAATCGTCGACGAGGAAGACAGTCGAGTGATTTGTGTTTTTCAGTTGTTCTCACTCTTAACACATTTAGCGAGCCATGGACGATTTTGATATGCTCAGTGCCCCCCAAGGAAGCGCAGGAAACGGTGTGGGGGCAGACGAGGATCCGGCGGCAGCATTTCTGGCCCAGCAAGAGAGTGAGATCGCGGGGATCGAGAATGACGAAGGCTTCAGCATCCTGGACAGCGGAGATGTGCCTTCATCCCTGAGCCAAGACCAGGACGGTGTGTTTACACGACATGATAGAGAGAGAAAAAAGAAGAAAAATATAATTATAATCTTATAACCGACAAAACATCTTAGCAAATAACTGTTTTACTCTCTCGTTAGCCAGCTAGCCTTCATTTAGATGTGAAGTAACGGAGTGTGTGTGTGTGTAAATAATATGTGCTACGCTGTTTCAATAGACAACACTGTCAAAGATGCATTCAAGTAACGTTACGTTAGCCGTTTAAATGCTCAATGTTTTACATAATGGTAGCAACGTTAGTTGAAGGAAGCAGGAAAATGGCGTTATCTCTTGTTAACTCAGCTATTTATGAGACTCCCTGTAGTGGACCTCCCAACGTTTTAATCGTAATTTTATTTGGCTTTAAGATAAATAAAACATCCTTTATGAGACACATTTATCGCTTTTGTCTTGATTGGTTAACTTATTCTAGTTGTACTGAATGTATCCGCGAAATTTCAGTCCTTTTAACGCGGTTTATGTTAATGACCTTTAGACTGAAGGCTGTGTGTGTTTTCCTTTAGTCTTTATATTGGAGTGAGATATGGTTTTATGACAGGATAGGCAGCATTTCAGTCCATCAAAGACGCATTCGGACGTTATTGAATGTTTAGAAGTTGTATAAAAAAGCTTGAGTGTTCCAACGCATCGTGATCCACGAAAACGAGTGATTCCCACGCTCATATGTATGTGCAGATGTGTGCAAAAATGCACGATTGCGGCTATAAATGGCCAGAAATGCGCCCCCGCTAGTTTCATAAATGTCAAATACGGACCGAAATTGATTCGGACTCGCAAATGATGACCAAAAAGATTAGTTTTTTCGAATGCATTTGTAGTGTGATACCCCAAAAATGTTTCAAACGCACCTGTGATGCCCAAAAATTACATTTACGCGTTTTGTAGATACGCGTTTTAGAATTAAAGGTATATTCTCACGCACCTTAAAGCTGAATGAATCTTTAGAGGTACCTAAACTATGATTGTACCTTTATTAATTAAATTGAATCCATACAATGACTGAAATGTGTATATTTTGGAGGCCTTAGGTTGGTAAACACCATGTTCTATGGTTAAAAATAAGTAATAAGTATACATTGTGTGAAATTAAATGTGCCGTTTGTGTCTTAATGCATTTTCAATACAGTACAAAGAATATTACCAGTCAGCTGAAGTGTCTGGTACTCCATTTTTACTGGCTATTGGCTTGAATGTTTCTCTGGCCAAAAGGTTTGAATAAATGATGATGGGGATGTAGTTTCGTTGGCACACAGTCTGACTTGGGTCTAGGATGACTAAAGACAACAGCCTTGGAAGTACAGTGCATTGCAGTGTGCAGAAAGTCAGTCAGGCCTGCATACTTTCTGTTCATAAAAACAGTCTTGGGTTAAAAATTGATTTGCATGTGGTAAACATTTTGTCTCTTATTACTGCTGGTGTGTTAAAGTATTGCGGAATGAAAAAGATCAAGTGATCAAATCACATCTAGTGACGAGAGGTTGCATGTTTTTCACTGATTCAGGAAGAAAGGAAAAGAAGTCAGCAAAACCAGACTTAGGCAGGAAGAAAACTGTATATCCTGTCCATGAATTCCACACTAAAGTAAAGCTATTTTATGGACAACAAATTATTGCAAATTAACTACTGTTCCTTGAATACTCTTTTGGCAGGTGCTTTTATCCTTAGTAACTTGCATTCCATGCTTTCCATTAAACACGTGACATGCCCATGGCATTGTTAGTACCATGCTCTACTGCTTGAGCTACAGGAAGGCTAAACAGCCTTGCAATGCATTTCACTCAACAATCCATGAAATTTCGACTAGACTGTTTTTAACACTTGTTTTTCTTTCTTTTATCTCGGCAGGAGCAGTGAATGGAGATCTGCATGGGGTAAGACCTTGAATACTTCTTGCCTGTATTCCATCAAACTGTCAATCTGTTGACATTTGATTTTAGAGTTGTCTCTTGCATGTATTTATATAGCTGCATTTTCACTGCAATGACTGCATGTGTGGATGCACAATTGCAGCTGATAAGAAATAAGCAAGCAGTTTGCATTACAACAGAGCAAATGAATAAATCTAAATTTAGACTTGCTTTAAACTTTTGATTCCTTTCAAGCACTGGTTCTAAATAGCTGAAAGCTGATGTGTGTATTTTTGTGTAACTACTATAAAGCCCAGTTTCATATTTGAGGCATGAATTTCTAAGGCTTCTAAATGATCTGAAATATCTAATCTGTATCTGCTGCCCTCTGATTGATAGTTCATACTTTTTTTACAAAGTGAAATGCCTTTTTAGTATAATTGTTAAAATGTCCATCTTAAGTTTGTCTTTGCTGTGAAATCTTTAATGATTTTTATAAAGTAAATGTTCAGTTGCTTTTATATTGTAATTAATATTTCAAGATGAACATTTACTGGACTGAACCAACTTAGGTTTATAATCCATATGTAATTATTTTTATAAAAATCATGTTTAAAAGTAAATATGAAGTAATGCAGTCTCCATCATTTATGTTTGTTATCATTATATGTATATCATCAAATCTACAAAGCTTTAATCATAAAACTAACATTATGTAATTCATCTTCCATACTGTTATACAAATATGATTTGCATTAGTCTATCAAAATTTCATCTTATTTTTTGGCCATTTAAAAATCACCATACTTGCATAGTTTTTCTCCATTTTGCCCTCTTTTTTTAATGAATATTGTATATAAATACAACAAACTTGCAGTTTAATTCTGACTTGTTCAATATGTGGCTTTACTGAGTTAAATTAGCATGTGACCTGGACAGTTAAGGCCCGTTGTACCAGTCACTCATATTTTAGATGTTTGTATTTTTTCAATTCAAATATATAAAAAAAAAAAATTAATTTAATTTACAAATCACTGAGCCAAACTAAAGGAGCTGATGCACTAAAGACGTGTATCAACTAAATGGTGTACTGTGATTTGTATGGTTTGGACTCCTAATCTTTGCTGTGTGCGTTTTGTAGGAGAGCAATGGTCCTTCAGACGTGTATGCGGCCATCTCCAGTGTCGATCGGTTGCAGGCCGAGCCGGAGAGCTTGAGAAAATGGAGAGAGGAGCAGCGCGAGAGGCTGGAGGAGCTTGGTAACTTGAGCAAAGATGTAGATGTTATTCTTAAGATATTGAAACATTTCATCTATGGCTGACTGATATTCCTCTGCTGTTTTTCAGATGCTAACTCGCGTACGCAGGAGCTCGAGTGGAAGGAGAAAGCAAAGCTGGAGCTGGAGGAGTGGCACCTCAGGCAGAACGAGCAGCTGGAGAAGACCAAAGTGAACAACAGGTACCCGACACTGTTCGAACAGCTTAAGTCTAGTAGTGAGCCCTGGTTACAAAAGCACTAGAAAGTGCACGGCTCCTCCATCGTACTCGACGGCAATGTGTATGCTGGGTCACAGTGTATTCATATCTCATACAGATTTGGAATAAAGGATTCATGATCATTTTTGAGTGAACTATTCATATTAACCAGTGTAATGGTAACTAGAAATATGAGGCAGATTTGAGATTCTGACTTTGTTGAATGATCATGTGATTTGGCCATGGACACTTCTGCTGTGTTTTGGTCACATGATCATGTCTGGTCCAATCTAAAAAAAAGATGCTATTTCTATGATTGGCACCAGATGTTGTATTCAGCTATTAGAATAAAAAAGCTATGTCTATGCAAAGCTTTGTGCCTCAGGGAAGCATCTGAATGAACTTTACAGTTAGACGTGCTGAAAAGGATTCAGTCTAAATTTCTATTGAAAAGAACGCAAGTGAGTCAAAAGTACAGTTTTTTTTATTTTAGTTTCAAGTGCATGTTTTGGGCTTCCCCATTCAGTCCTAGTGAAAGTATGTTTTGGTACAAATAAAAATGATGTCGTCTTAAACCTCTTTCTGTATATCTGTCCTCATTCCTTTGAATGTGAAATCGTTCTCTTAATTCCTTATTTATTTGTCCTGTTTGTCTCTGTGTTTCTCTCTCTTTTTGTACTTGGGCTGGTGTTAACACTGGTATGGTAACACTGCAGTGTGTTTTGACTCTGTATGAGTGTTTGTTTTCTCCTTTTTACCACTCTCTCTGTTCTCTCCTGCTTCGCTGCTCTCCTCTGGGACTCCCAGGGTGCTGGATGAGGATTTCTACAAACAACCCTTCGCTGATCTGATTGGTTATGTGTATGTTGCTAAACTAACATCCTTTCTTTTCACATGCATTTCTCATGATCTCATTTTCCTGCATCTCATCTTTTTTCATAACCTGTTACTCTTACTCATCTCTAACCAAATGCTTAGTTAACTACGTATTTAAAACCAGGGTGATTTTTTGTTTTCTTCAAAGACTAATTAGACAAATAATTCTGCGCATTATGCATGTTATCCATCCCCGCCCCATTATAGTTACATAACAGATTTTTGTGTGTCTTGCCCATTAAGTCATTACTCATTTGTCTTTTTATTTATTTATTTATATTATTTATCATATAGAGTTTATGAAAACCCATCTTTTTCTCATGTTTGTGTCTTGCATTTGTCATGTCTGCACTTTACATTCAAGATATGATGTCTAAACATTTGTATAAATTGTGAGATTATTTAATGTTATTGTTTGTCTAACATTATTATTAAGTGAGATTTGTTGATATATACTAGCATAATTTAGTGCAGTAGCAGTGTATCTGTAATACAGTAGTAGAGACTTTCTAAGCAACTACGTCTCTGGCTCGTATCAAAGCCAAACCATAGTAAACCAGCCAGTAGTATAATTACAAAAAAATATAAATGTACTTATTTTGCTTATAGATTATTTTTTTTTTGTGTTGCCAAATTTGGTAAAAGGTGCACTAGGTCATTTCTTTCAGTGCAATTTATAGAAATTTCTGTATTTCATTCATATATATATATATATGTATATATATAAGAAAATTTGCTGATTTTATTTTGGCCACATTTTTTTTCCAAATAAATTGAAAACGGTTGGCAAGGCTTTCAATTGATTTACTTGCTAAGTTTAACCAATTCTGTTAAAGGAGTAGTTCACTTTTCAAAAAACATTTGCTGATAATTTACTCACCCCCATGTCATCCAACATATCCCTGTCATTCTTTCTTCAGTCGAAAAGAAATTAAGGTTTTTGATGAACATATTCCAGGATTTTTCTCCATATAATGGACTTCAATGGGAACCAAACGGTTCAAGGTCCAAAAGACTTGCTTTAAAGTGCTTTAAATGAATTCAGACTATAAATAAGGGTCTTATCAAGCGAAACGATCGCTCATTTAAAAAAAAATAACAAAGTTTAAGTTTTATAAGCTCAAAAGGTTGCCTTGCTCTGTACTGCGATGAACGAGTTCGAACAGGAGAATCACGAACATGCATCAAAATGAACAAATCTTTTTCCGAGTCAATTTGTTCGTTAAATGTACCAAAGGACTCGGAAAAAGATTCGTTCACAAATCGACTCACAAACGTGTATCACAGAACAGAGCAAGTTGAGCATTTGAGCTTATAAAACTTAAACTTTGCTATTTATTTATTAAATAAGCGATCGTTTCACTTGATAAAACCCTTATTCATCTTCTGAAATCGTTTAAAGCCCTTTGAACAGTTTGCACTGAAACTGTCTTTGGGACCTTGAACTGTTTGGTTCCCACTGAAGTGCATTATATGGAGAAATTCTTGAATGTTTTCATCAAAAACCTTAATTTCTTTTTGACTGAAGAAAGAATGACATGGATATTTTGGATGACATGGGGGTGAGTAAATTATCAGCACAAGTTTTTATAAAAGTGAACTACTCCTTTAATCTTCCTTTGTTTGGCCAGTGTCGGTCTCAAAATGGTAAATTATTGAGCGACACAATTTTTATTTTTTTTTTTAAACCAAGACTTGTTGCACCTTTATCCCATGGCTGGTGTTTTTCGGCTGGACACCTAGTTGCTTCTGTTAGATGGGAGTATTGTAGAGAGTACGCTGTGTCTAGGTTGAGCAAAGCTGTCCCAGGCTAGAACTGTAACTGTCCTCTTAGTTCTGCAGCCCTCATATTCATCATGGACATCTTACTGCTTCTGCCTATTCTGCAGAGCTATTGTAAACATTTAGCTGCTTTTCTTTTGCTTGGTAAATGTCTCTCAACTGAAGTGCCAGTTGCGATCGCCGACCGCCGCAAGCGGCGCGTACGTCAATGACGGCTGCAAGCTAAGCGCACATAGAAGCACTCCTAAGATGACTTGGGTTTTGAACAGTGCATGCCTGCTTTGGTCATCTGCATAAATCTCATTTCTTTTGGTTTTCTATATATCTGACTTGTGATCTGTTTCTCCTTGTTTTTCTTTTCTCTATGCACCTTTAAGCACTCACATTAACCATCCTTGCTACCGCCTAGACCAGTTAAGTAAAAAAAAAAAAAGCAAAAGAAAAATAAAGACAAGAAAACCCAGTATGCTCAGGGAACAAACACCCAAAGTTATATACACCAATGAATTGCTGTCTTTATTATCAACATGTTTCTGCTAAAGTTAAGATTCTGGATGTCCTTTTGTGGTGATGTGTTGGTGCACTAGTCCTGTACGTTGATGTAGTTGATTGTGACCGTGATTTACCTCATTGGCTTTTCATACCCATTTTGCTGTGTATACTGTGTGATAGTGGAGAGGCTAATGCAACTCTACTGGACTGAGTCCACGGCAGCGGAAAGGGTCGGTAAATGGGCCGGGAGGAAACGGGAATAGGCGAATATGGTCTCAAAAAGCTCTCTGAAGATTTCTGTTAAGAGCTCTTTAGCGTTTGGCTTGCCAGAAACTTGGTTTAGTTGCCCCATGCTCAGCAGAAGGCCCCGCTTTTGGTCACTGCCAACGCATGGCACGTTCAGCCTTTGCACAAAGATTTGGTGGTTAAAATAAGCTAATTGGCCTGCCAATCGCCGCGTTGAAGGTTTATATTAGCGTACACGATTCCTTGACATTCCTCTGACCACCAAGCGACGAGGAATGTCCCACAATACAAGGACTTTCAAAGTACAACAAATTGTTTTAACCAACTGAATCACTGCAAAATTTGATTGTGGCTGTTCTGGAACCTTTTCCTGCCTGTAAGATCGAGACTAGTTCTGGTAATGGTGGGTTGGGGGCATGAAGCTCAAA